TTACCTGTGGTTGTGTTTTACTACCAGCTGATTAAGACACCATTATGGAAAGCTATGTGCAATTGATAACCCTTAAAAGGAAGTAAATTTGATTAATTTAGGAAAATCTACATACGTTTGAAGAAAAAAGTTATATACATAGAGGACCTGATCAAAATAGGGATGCTACTGTACTCCTGCACTATTTTGATTCTTATGATGATAAAGACATGGAAATTTCAGGACTTCAGGAAGCAGAGGCCAGTCAAAAGATTTCATTCACCTTTTCTTTCCAGTCCACTGCAAAAGTAAGCATCACCCACATGTCCCCTGCACCAAAGGGGACTGCATGTGGCCTGCATGTGGCTATCATCTTCCGTCCAAGCAATCCTGAGGCCAGAACTGACATGGTCATGGGCATGGATAAGGAAATGCTGCCTCAGCTTACAACTGAGCTACTGCTGGCAAGACCAGGATCCCCTTACAAAAGCAGTAAATGTTCCCATCCTTTTCACTGTTTCACACAGCCCATAAAACCATCCAATCAGTGTTGGGTTAACTTACGTGGGTCAGTGAAGCAGTAGATTCTTCCTATTATTTTGTGGAAACAAAAAGAGTAAACAAGCAAAATCTCTAAGAAAAAGGAATTTTTGCAGAAGATCTGCATTCTTCTTGCTCACTGTTAGCATTCTCCTGTTTCAGAAGACAGTTTTGATTCATGTTATTTTTATGAAATGAATCTGTTTTCACCACTTAATTTATTATGACCAGGTCTGGAAAGAGAAAAGCCATACAAAAACCCATATGGTCTTTCTTCCTGAAAAGGAGTACTTTATAGACAAGGGATGAAGATGGAGTGGAATCACAGGTTTCTGTGATAACCAACTCAAGACTAATGTTTACAAAGAGTGATGACGAGACATAAACAGAATAGATAAGTAAGACATATAAATGTGACACTAAAAGGACTTCACTTTAACAGGAGGTAGAATTTATAATCTTAATATCTCCAGGTCCAATGCATTACAGACACAGTACAGAATCTTACTTCCTGCTAGCACCTGGGTCAATAGTGTCTTGTCTTTCAAGCTTTCCAGTGTTTAGAGGCTCACAGTCTTTGGCTTTAGCCATGATCATGATAACCATGACTGCAGAAAAGATATAGAGAGACCTTACAGAAATGAAGTGAATAAAAGAATATGAAATGTATACACTCTACATAAAAGAGAATGGAACGTAACCATTTTCTGCCTCTACACTTGGAAGGAACTATTCAGCCTTGTTGTCTCATTTAGGAAGAACAGATACAAGCAGAGTCTGTTAATGGTATCTGCTTTGCATGTCGAGATCTCGTGTCTTATAAAGTATATTTTTTCAATGGTCGCCTAGACCAGGAGGAGACACAAACTTATTCAGACCCTATTTGGAACATGGGCAGATTTGCGATTCCTTTGTATTAACTCTGGCTCCACAGTGCTGCACAGTCTATGAAATGGGAACCATTGTTTCAAGCACTTTTAATTATAATGAGGGGAGGTTCCAGTTTAATTATAATGTCATACTGCCACATGTGTCCTCCATCATAAGTGTTTTCCATTCACTTCCCTTTCTCCACCAAAAATATATCTCAGATGATTTGGCTTAAAAAAATTGATGCATTTTTTGGGAGATGTCAGAGAGAGAGTAGTAAAGTTGGACAGTAACTTATCTACACACTTAAGCTTACTTGCTCTCTTACAGCTGGAGTCTCTGTTAAGGGATCTTCACCTAACTAAGGTTACATGTGGGTAGAGAGGAAGCAGTCCTGTGCATATAGGAGAGGGTTCATGGGATTTTCCAGAGAGATTTGGCCTCCAGATTGTTTATCTTGTAATCTGTGCGGTGCTCTGACTCTAACTAAGCCTTCTGCAGGTACACAGTCCAGGAAGAGTGTTTCTCAACCAAAATTGTTATTATTTTGACAGTCTTTTATTTATTTTCAGAGTTACTACATACCTTCTTGTTTAGTACTGCTCCAAGGCCATCCTCCCTTACATAATTGTATTAATCAAGGCCCAACCAGGAAACAGAAACGCTCAGATTATTTAAAAAGGAGGAAATTCAGTGCAGGAAATTGGCCACCTGTGATGGAAGAGGCTGAGAAGCCAACCAGAGCACAGATAGTTAACCCAGAGACTAGCCACCTCAGGAAACTGTGACCTTCCCTTGGTAGGGGAAAGGTAAAGAAAGGGAGAAGGGTGTTTCAGAACCTAGGAGTAACCAGAAGAAACTTAGGGACTTCTCTGTCAAAGGCAGAGAGGGAGGGAAAGAAATACCCTGAATTCTCTCCTCCTTTTACCATCTACCTCCCTTTGAGCAAACCTGCTGGAGGCCAGCTGACACTCAGAGCTTGGGAAACAGCCTTTAGAAGTCAGCCCCCTGCAGTACAAAGCAGGGTAGGGAAAGGATAAGGCATGGGTCTGAGAACAAGCAGTTCTCAACCATCATAGTCAACTGCTACTGGGATTAGTCTTGTTCTGGTATTTATTAATGCAGAATTTTTAATCCAATCTTCCCACATATTTCACCCATTTAGTTAGTATAGTGATATATTCATTTGTTAAGCCAAATTCTTCATTCTTTTTCCTTCTTGTGTAGCTATTGAATTACCTTGGCAATTATGCATAGAAATAACAACCACTTACCCAGCTCGTTGGTGTTTGGAACTCATAAGTAGTAATTATGTTGTTAACTCATAGTTAATGAAGCCCTTTCACATATACAGATTGATTCTCATAAAAATTCTGAATAGTTATTATCCCCATTTTGTAGAAGAATTACCTGAGTCTTAGAGATTTTATGTGAATTGCTCAAGGACGGAAAACAAATACTGGAGCGAGGATTCAAACCCTGGTCTGTGTAGTTCCAAACCCCATAATTTTACCATGCTGCCTCTTAAGAGAAGGAGTTGCCCATAGGGGACAGCAAAAGTTTTCTGGATTGGCTGGCTTAGTTTAGGAAAAAGGAGAAAATACGTTTTAAAATCATAAAAATTTTCTCATTGACCTAGAAATCAAAATTATACCCTGGGCCTGACACCAGGCCTATTTAGCACTCCTGTCTGAAGAATTATATCCTTCTTGAAGAAACTGCACTCTTACCCTATACACATCCAGAAGTCAGTGTTTCAATACATGGGCTGGCTGATCTGGAAGGGTCAGTGTTGCAACAGCATGTACCATCCCAAGCCTGATGGACGGGGTGAGGGAGGGAGGGAGGGAGGAAGGAAACAGGCCCATGGTTCCTATCTCCCTGTCTTTCTTCAACAAAAGACAGCACGCCCAGTGAAATTTGAATGTCATATGAAAAATGAATTTTTTTAGTATGTCCCAAATATTGCATGGGACATATTTACACTAGAAAGTTATCTGTTGTTTATTTGACATTCAAATGGCATCCTGCAATTTACTATATCTGGCAATTTTATCTCAAGCTGGGCAGTGATCCCAGTGTTTCAGGGGTGGACGTGTGTGTGTGTGTGTGTATGTGCGTGTGCTAGGACAAGAGCCCAGATGGCTTTGCCATCTGTGCCCTGTTCATGCCACAAGGTAATAATTCCTGCAGAGGTGGGGGATTCCCAGTATCCAGCAAATACTGATGAATTCTGAATTGGAGGTTCCCTCTGTGGTAAGGAGAGCTGGTCTGACCTGAAGCTGAAGTTGATTTGCCTGGTTTCACTTAGCTTTTCTGTTTTCACTGGTGAGTATTCAAATCTGACCAGGAAGTTAAAATTAGCCTTAGGGATGTATAAACTTATTCGAAGAAAAAGAAAGAGGAAGGGGCCCAAGGTGGCCTAGATGTGTCAGGCAGAAAGGTCTGTGGGTCCCATGCAGCAGTGAGGAGGTGCATGTTAGCACTTGTGCTGCTGGCCCAGGAGAGGACTGGAAAGCAGGCCCAGTGGTCCTTCTGGGGTGGATGCCAAGGAGAGGATGGGGAAGATGGGATGCTGGGGCTGGGTACTTGCCTCTGGTTCTGAGGAACGTAGAGCTGGGAGGAGATGCCACTGGGCTGTAAACTCTCCCAACAGGCGGGTAAGGTGATTCAACAGCCTCTACAGAGAGAGGTCTCATCCTGGGACTGGTTACTCATCCTAGGGCCCAAGGAGGAGGAGCTGGGGGTGCTCCCACCCCTAACTCTATGTCGATCTGGAATCTTGAGTAAGTCATTATTAACTCTGGGCCCTTGTATGCTCACCTCTAAAAACGTGATGGAGGAGGATATACTTTTCTGTTATGGTTCCTCTTAGTTCTAAAATTCTGTTGGTATATGTATAATTTTTAGCCTTTTCCTGACTCCTGTTTTGTGCTCACTGGCCAGGTAAGAGGGCTGGTAACAGACTTCATCAATAATTCTTATATCTTAAGATCACTCTTCACTTTCCCCTCAATTTTTTCACATATCCAGGCAAATATCAAAATCCTTTTTTCAAAGAGCTTTATTCAAATGAGTTAAGCAATGACATTTACTCTTCTCTAAAAGCTGCATGTCAACACAGCAATTAGGAACTCTGTGGGACCAGAGGTGACAATTAATATTTCAACCCCAGTTCACCATTCCTTTGTTCATTCAATCATTCAGCAGATATTTATGGAGCTCAGGCAATGTATCAGGCAGATTCGAGTTTGGGAGGAGGACTTCAAGAGAACTACAAAACATGCCACACTCTCGGGGACCTGAGACCTGATTCCTCAAATCCTTGGCTTTTCTCTTCTGTTGCTGGACTCCTCAGAGTTTCAGTGTTCAGCCACCCACCCATCAAATGGTAGAGGCAAAATGAAAATGAGTTCTTGTTGACAGTTGCACTGAAAGGTTGAAAGTGTTGGCCAACTTGAGGTATTTGAATAATCTGTGGGTTTGCCCCTCCCTGTAGTGGTGGGCCTCGAAGACCAGACATAACTGGGAACTGGCTCCTACTGAGAGTGCAAAGGAGCCCTCTGGGATGTCCTTCACTCACTTGCTTCTTCCTTGCCCTCTCTCCCCAGTGTCGTACTTGAGATGGAGTTACTGCCCCTCTGGCTCTGCCTGGGTTTTCACCTAATGACAGCGGAATGGAGGAACCGAAGTGGGATGGCTACAGCAGCTTCTCAAGGGGGCTGCAAGTTGGTGAGTTTTCCCAGGGACTCCAAGTTGTCTGTCGCTCCTGTCCTGACAAGGTTTGGTCCATTTGGAAAGCTGATGTATTGTCCATCAAGGAGCACTGGGAATGAAAGAGTCTGAATCACTCTGTACGTGCCTTGCACAATGGCATGTGCAAGATACTCTCTAACGCAAGGTTAAGATGATGCCTGGGAAAGGCCAGACAGCCCCTGCCTGACCTTTTTCATACCTGCTGAAGATAGAAGTCCCCAGAGACAGACCTACGTCTGCTACCTGGAACCATGTTAAAAATCTAGATGATTGAACTCCACTAATGGTATCAGAATCTCTGGGTGGGTTATATTAAACTTGGAGAAGCCCTATCTCAAAGTTGGCATATGAGCTGATAGCAATGCTTAAGCATCAGTACTGAAGAGCACACAGCCCATGCTGCACTGCAGAGCAATGTATTTGACCACGCTTAGGCTAAGACAGTCCAGGAAATGGGTACCTGACCTTTTATGATTTACTCTCTCCAGGGCTTTCAGCCTATATACGTGGAACAAACTTGCCTTATAACAGCTGAGCACATTTCTAGAAATTTTTTCCTTTGTCTATAACTCAGCGATATAAAAAATCTGCTTGAGAAACATATATTTAATAAACATTCCTTGAGTTCTATTAAATATCAGGCCCTGGGGAGGCAAAGTTGATGTCAAAGTTAATACTTGAATTCAAAAATGTGTTCTTAAAGCTGATAAATTTAAAAAACCCAGCTGGTCATGGTTCTTTACCACTTTTAGTAACCTCTAGCTGCCACACTGTGGTGTGCTCCAGTATGGGGTAAGGGTTATGAGCTAAACCCCAGTTTACTACTAGTGACTTTGGGGCCACTTTGTGTCTCAGTTTCCTCATCTGTAAAATTTGGAGGTAATAATAGCACCAACCAATAATACCGTAACACGGGGTTCTCAGGATGATTAAGTGAGCTAATATATGTAAAGCACTCAGAATAGTGCCTTGGGTAGTAAGTGCTGTGTGCTCCATCTGTTGTTCTTGTTGCTGGTGGTCTCTGCTGCAGAGACAGTGTAAGATTAACTTCACAGTAGCTAGCCCAGGAATAAGAAGAGAAGGGAAGAAGGCATGAGTTCCCTGCCTGACTCTCTCCAGCCTGGTGGGCAGAAGGGACTCTGCTGCCAGTGAGCTCAAAGGGAGGAGTTCCCATGGCTCTTCTGAATTGAGGGCTGAGAGTTTGAGAGTCCAGGCACCCTCCATTGCCCCTCCTTGCTTTAGCTATTTGATGTTATTAAAGTGGACATAGTGGGCTCTAATGGCCACATGGTCCTTTTGGAGCACTTCAGTGAGGCCACAGGGAATTGCAGAGGTGTGACCCCTACAACTGCAGCAGCTGTGGGGAAAAAGGGTCTCACAGCTTGAGAAAAGCCCCTAACCACAACATTCTCCAGAGGATGCCCCTGTTGAGGGGCAGACCAACACTTACTCAAATGAAGAAAAATGCACCTTGTTTCTGCGTAGGGAGATTCAGTTTTGTAAATATGTCAGTTCTCCCCCAGATTAACACATAACTGTTATGCAATCTCAGTCAAAATCTAAAGACTTTTGGTGGGGAGGGGAGGTATGGAAGGAACCTAACAAATTCATTCTTACATTCATCTGGAAATTAGAAACAACTTATATGGTCAAAAGTAAAAGATTAATTTATTATCCTAATCTTATAGCTAACATTTATTAAGCATTTATGTGCCAGGTTGTGTGTTGAGTGTTTTACTTAAGCAATCATGCTGAATCCACAAACAAAAAAGAACAACCCTATAAGAAAACTACAAGTATAATTTCCACTTTATAGGTGGAGTAATAAAGAGCCTGACTGGTTGGGTACCCAGTGCTACCCATATGATAAAAAGAGAACCGAGATGGACCTACCCTAGAACTCTTGCTCTTAGCCACTATTCATATGCTGTTCATGCAATGAATAATATACAGGTGCTAAAAAGAGTATGATCGAATTTATTTTTATTGCCGAGGCAATATGGCTGTCATATATTTCTGAAGGAGAAAAAAAGTAGATTGCTGAGCAGTTTGTAGAGTACAGTCTCATAAAAAAATATATATTTAAGGTAGATAATATATGTAGGAAAGAGTCCAGAAGGAGATGTAACAAAAGCTTAGTGGTGTTTTTTTGAGGGAGAGGCTGAGGTTACTGAAGAGTTTAATTTTCTGTATTTTGGTACTGTATCAATTTTTAACTATTAGAATGTTTTATTTTAATAATCAGATAAAGAACTTGGTGCTCCAAGAAGTTAATTCCTTGTGCAGAGTCCAAAGCTAGTCAGTTGCACAGCCGTGAGTCAGACTTGAGTCTGTCATCTCTCCAAATCTGTGCTTCCTCCTCTCTACCAGGATTCCAGTTACCCCTGGGGTTGGGCGCACAGTTTCAGGCAATCACTGGCCCTGTCCTACTCATCGACCTGTGGAAAGGAATGCCGTTGCTCTTCTGTCTTCCCTTAAAACTTTTTTCCTGGACGCCTAACCAAAGCCAGGCAGCTGATTGCTTTTGCCAATCTTGTAAAACACTGGACTGCGTTAAAGTATCCTAAGGCTTATTTGATTTCTGCAGGGAGAACAGGGTAGCTCCACCCCCTTTGCCTCCTTATGCTGTTCAATCGTGGTAGAACAGTATTGAGAAAAAGCACTGGACTGGGCATTAAGATCTCTGGTCACAAGTCTCAGCTCTGCCATTGGCTCTTTATTTCTCTACAGACCCCTCTCTACTTCTCTGTGGACTCAGGGTGGTGATGAACTCTGAAGTCCTTTGAAGCTCTACCATCTCTCAATACAGAATGTAGGGGAGCCTTGCAGGCAAAGCTTCTGTGGGTGAACTGAAGATGTCACAGCACCTCTGGTTGTTTGGCAGTGTCTCTATTAGACACACAGGTGTTACAGTAATAGCAGTAACATTGCAGTGGTGACTGTTTGCATTAATAGGGCTCCCTGTGTGTCAAGCACTGTGCAGCCACTCGTCTGATCTCACTGCAATCCTCTCAAGTAGGTACTATTTTTAACTTCATTTTTTATAGGAAATAACAGACTTAGGCTAAATGATTTGCCCAAGGTCACCCAGGAAACAAATGGCAGAGGCATTTGACCAGACACCTGGTCTTCAATTGTTCTCATAGTTAAAACCAAATTGAAAGTACAATTGTCACCATTCAGCACCAGATGGACAGGTGCTCAGACCTTCTCTACACATGGTACATTTTAAGTGGGAACTGGAGCTCAGCTCCTGGCTATTTCAGCATGAAGGCAAAGAACAAAGTTTCCTTTTGTTCTACATTTTCCTATCCTTTTAAAAATATTATGATCTCCAGAGCCATTCCCAGCCATTGCAGGAACACACTCTGATGAATTAACTAGTTTCTATACATAAAGTTCTGCCTCAGAAGCCTCCTCCCTGCTGACTAGTGTGTTTTGGAACCTAGGTGGATGGAGTGGCTGACTGCCGAGGGCAGAACCTTGCTTCAGTGCCCAACGATCTCCCACCCTCCTCCCAGATGCTCATCTTGGATGCCAACCCTCTCAAGATCCTGTGGAATCATTCCCTCCAGCATTACCCTCATCTGGAGAGCCTCAGCCTGCACAACTGCCACCTGGGGTGCATCAGCCGTGGAGCCTTCCAGGAGCAGGTGCATCTGCACAGCCTGGAGCTGCCTGACAACGCTCTGGCAGAGAGCTACAAGGAGACAGCGGCTGCCTTCCATGGCCTGCAGGGGCTGCGGCAGCTGGACCTGTCAGGGAACTCCCTGACGGAAGACATGGCAGCCCTCATGCTCCAGAACCTCTCTTCATTGCAGTCAGTGTCCCTGGCAAGGAACACCATAATGAGGCTTGATGACTCCATCTTTGAGGGCCTGCGGCGCCTCAGAGAGCTGGATTTGCAGAGGAACTACATCTTTGAGATTGAAAGCGGAGCATTCCATGGCTTGACTGAGCTGAGACACCTAAACCTGGCCTATAACAACCTCCCTTGCATTGTGGACTTCGGCCTCACGCAGCTGCGGTCCCTCAACATCAGCTACAATGTCCTGGAATGGTTCCTGGCATCTGGGGTGGATGCTGCCTTTGAGCTGGAGATGCTGGACCTCTCTCACAACCAGCTGCTGTTTTTCCCACTCCTGCCCCAGTGCAGCAAGTTGCACACCCTCCTGTTGAGGGACAACAACATGGGCTTCTACAGGGACCTGTACAACACCTCATCGCCACAAGAGATGGTGGCCCAGTTCCTCTTTGTGGACGGCAATGTGACCAACATCACCACCGTCAACCTCTGGGAAGAGTTTGCTTCCAGTGACCTCGCAGATCTACACTTCCTGGATATGAGCCAGAACCAGTTCCAATACCTGCCAGACGGCTTCCTGAAGAAAATGGCTTCCCTCTCCCACCTGAACCTTAACCAGAATTGCCTGGTGACACTCCACATCAAGGAGCACGAGCCCCCGGGAGCGCTCACTGAGCTGGACCTGAGCCAGAATGAGCTGTCAGAGCTGCGCTTGGCTCCAGGGCTCCCTGGCTGCCTGAGGAGCCTCCGGTCATTCAACTTGAGCTCCAACCAGCTCCTGGGTGTCCCCACTGGCCTTTTCGCTGATGCCAGTAATATCACTACAATTGACATGAGCCACAATCAGATCTCACTTTGTCCCCAACCAGCTGGCTTCAATCTTGTGGGCCCCTCCAACTGTGTGGATTTCAGGAATGTGGCGTCTTTGAAGAGCCTCTCTCTGGAGGGCTGTGGGCTGGGGGCGTTACAAGACTGCTCATTCCAGGGGACCGCCATCACCCACTTAGACCTGTCTGGTAACTGGGGGGTTCTGAATGGGGGCATTGCTGCACTCCGGGATATTGCCCCCACATTACAGGTCCTGTCCCTCAGGAATGTTGGCCTCAGTTCCAGCTTCATGGAATTAGACTTCTCTGGGTTTGGGAATCTGAGAGACTTGGATCTGTCGGGAAATTCCTTGACCAGTTTCCCAAGGTTCAGGGACTGCCTGGCCCTGCAGACCCTGGATCTCCGCAGGAACTTGTTAACAGCCCTTCCCCAAAAGGCTGTGTCTGGGCAGCTCATGAGAAGTCTGCGGACCATCTACCTCAGTCAGAACCCATATGACTGCTGCAGGGTGGAGGGCTGGGGGGCCCTGCAGCGCCTACACACCATCACAGACTTGGCCAAGGTCACTTGCAATCTCTCCTCCAAGGTCGTTCGCCTGATGGACCTACCCAGAGGCGTGCCTCAGGACTGTAAGTGGGAGCAGGCGGACATGGGACTGCTGTACCTCGTGCTCATTCTTCCCAGCTGCCTCACCCTGCTGGTGGCCTGCACTGTCATCTTCCTCACTTTTAGGAAGCCTCTGCTGCAGGTAATCAAGAGCCGCTGCCATTGGTCCTCCATATACTGACCTGGCTACGTGCCAAGGTTAAAATTCGGTCTGTGTGTGGAAAAACACTTTCTCTGTCGGATTTCAGGATGTGAGGCAGAGGCGAGTCTGATGAACAGAGGTTTAAGCTTAAAGCTTGAAATGTTTCCATCCCTAAATTACCCCGAGTTCCTCTTCCATCCTCTTGGTTCATCCCATTATCATGGTAAAATATTTATTAAGTGACATCCAATGAAAATATAAAGCATGTCTCATAAATGTTTTTTAAATCAAATGCAGTTTGTGTTTTATCTGTCTTGAATATTTTTTGGTAGTTTCCCATAGATTATTTTTCAGTGCCTTTTCCTTGGAGCTGGTAAGAAAGGGCAGTAATCCAATGCTACCTACAGCAAAAACAACTCCAAGAGCAGTCCTGTGAATGGTGAGAATCAGTGCCCTGGGGGTTCACCAAGGACAAGAATTTCAGAGCGAGCTGGAGCATCTGAGCTGAGAACTCTTGCCTCTAGCCTTGGCTTGCACGGCCACTGCGGCCAGACTGGGCCTGCAACAGGATCCTCTCTGGGTGCCCGGGGTTCACACCCAGAGTCTCTGGCAGGCAAGTATGACCCTCCCATGGAAAAGTTAAGAGATCCATAACTGGGCCCTTAGTTTATTCATGCAGTAACTTGAAAAGCAGGCACAGCCCTTGTTCTGAGGGAAAGTAAAGAGAATGCGGATAGGAATCAGTTTGGTTAACTTGTGGATTACCCCAACTCTTCACAACCAGCCATAGACAGCATCTTAGCAAGTGTTCAGTATCTGTACTCACTACATTCCTACTTTCCTTTCTGCCTCCCTTCCCTCAATGAATAGTGAACAATTTCTGCACTCCAATCTGGGGAGAAAAATAATAAGGATACAGGCCCTGCCCTTTCAGTAGTTTAGAATGTCCACTGTCTTTGCACTTTTTATGCTTGCTTATTAAATCATAAAGGGACTAAATGCAGTGGGAGGTGGGAGTGGAAGGAGGATAGAAATCTCACAAGCTGACAGCTGATTACTGTTACTGTGAAGACTAAATGTCATCAGGCATATTTAGGAAAATCAAAGGGATAAAAATCATTGGTCTTACTTTGACAGAAACTTCCCTTGGATGCCCTACAGGGTATAAACCAGACCATTTGAGTAGGCTGTACCCTCAGTCACACTGGGGTCAGCCATGTCAGCTACTGTTCTGTTGGACCTCCATCTTTCCTGTCAATGTGTGTCCATCCTGTGCTGCTCCACCCAGTGCGTTGGAGTCCTTGAAGCCTCTGTCCAGGGTTCTCTGGGCAAGCCCAATCAGCCAATGTCCATATGGCCAGACCTTCCTGATTTCCACCCCTCATGAACAAAAATGTTCCTGGGGTCCTGATGCTTCCCAAGATGACAACTAACTAGACAAATGAATCCATCTGTGGCTGATAATGACTATGGCTTTCTTGAGGTAATGTGTCACCCCTTGTACAAGTGAGTATTCTTGCAACTGAGGATGACTTTGTCTGACTGAAGTAGCGTAAGGAATTAGTAAAAGGCAATTGGGAGGCTCTAGACTCTCTGGGAAAGCTGAGGAACAGACTCAGGAAATGGGCAGAACAGGGGATGCTCTGCAGGAGTTGGGACCACAGCCCAAATCGTGCCATAAACAGTGATTGTGAGGACATGAGTGCAGCCACCCTTTACTACTGGACACCACAGTTTGCACCACTGCTCCTGGTGGCTCTGGACATAGTCATTGCCACAGGCTTACTGCCTCTGCTGCCACCCACCCACTGCCAAATAAACGCTCTCCCAAATTCTGCTGCCTTGTGTCACTAGCTCTTGAGGCAGTCTGGAGTAAGTGGACCTGGCCTGTTGAACTTAGGTCACATGCCCCTGCCTGGCAGCAGAAAACAGTCTCTGCTTCCTATCAATACTCAAAAGGGGTGGAGTTCTCAAAACAGGAAGGGAAGTTCTATGTTGAGACGACGAAAAGAAAGACAAAGGCGCACCGCACCCTTCTAGGCAGCACATACATTTTAGCAGAGGACTCAGAGTGAGGGATTCGAGAATGAGGGAGGCTGCAGACAGGTCCTCACACCAGCATGGAGATAGTGCGGCCATCAGGCAGGCCTTTTGAAGCCCCCCAAGTCACACCGCGTAGCTCGCAAGCCACTCTACCTATTCTTAGGGCTTACCCTCGCAGAATGGCAAACAGATGACTTTAAGACAAAGCCCTACCCCTGCCTCTGGCAGTGGCTTCAGAGGAATATGGGCTTTTCTTAGTTGGTTAATACATTGCTAGGTCCAAAGGCTACTTCCCAGGTTTCTTCTAGTATGGTGAGAAGGGTGAGAAGAACAGGTGGGTTTCTGTCTCTAGTCCTGAGCTGGGGTCTCTCCAGCAAATTCTGTACCTTTCGTGCGGCTTTGCCCACCCTACCTCCACCTGCAGAAGGGTGCACTCTAGTGTCCACTCTGAGAGCACTGGGGGTGCACCCACAGAGCCTGTTCTCAAGAGTTCCCTGCAGGAACCAGAACAGTCTGCCTAAAGCTGCACATACAGCCAGATTGAGCACTAAGGAGCTCCTCTTCAGTGGGTGAGAAGTGGGGGTCACCCCCAATTGCCACATGCCAGACTATCAGGAGAATATTCAGAATCAAAGATAAGGAATATCCGAGGTTAGACTGTTCACACAAGTAACAATAATTCATGAGTAATGATTTTGAAAACCCAGTCATAAAACAAAAGCTTCAGGTTTTCTAGAGGTACAAAATAAGTTATTAGGAGTCAATTGATATTTTTAAGGACCCCTGTTGCAAGAAACTGGCTAAACTCTAATCCTTGGTTCATATCATTAGTCATCTTTGGTCATCATTGATCAGTACAGAGCCCACCTTTATTTATTTAACATGCCAGATATCTTCCATTTGCCTCTCCAGATCCGCTCCCCCTCCTTCTCTGCCCTGCCCTAGGAGGCTGATCTAATAGGCTCCTTCGCACTTTGCTTTGCAATGTTATTTGGCTAAGAAAGGGCCTGAACAGATCAGAGAGAAGGGGGAACGTGAGGTCAGGGTGTTTATTCTCCTGACTCTTCCCTGTGGATTTGTCTCAAACTGGCTGCTCTTAAAAGGTCACACTCCTTTAAAGGTGGCCCTTGCTATACAAACCTCTGCCTTGACATTCTAGGTACTACTCATTCCATGGGTCCCTCCACCCTGGGTCTAGGGATGGGTAAGAGCTCTGTCCCTAACAGCCCAGTGTAATTACATTATCCCTTATGGTCTTCCTTTCCCTGCCTGTCCCTTTGTAAACAGCCTCTTTATAAAGTCTCCTCCTTGAGTTATCTCACACTCACTCATCTGGTTCCTGCTGGGACCCAAAGTGATGCGCTTGATTATTTATTTAATAATACAGAGCCAGAGAGATCCCAGTACATGTATCAGAGAGCCACAGAAGGCTAAGAATGGAGTCAGAGGTTTAAAGGCAACACCCCCTCTCCATCCGGGCCCCTGCAGAGATGGTTTTCCCTATGACTCATTCTGGGTAGATGTGAGGAAGAAGCTGGACAGGAGTAAGATGGCACACCTCATCGTGTTACAGATATATTCCAAATTGGAGAGAGAGAAATTTCCAGCCTTAGAGAACTTTTTTAAAAGAATATGGGTGTTGTGATGTCATGAGGCCAAAGGAAAAAGAGTGGGGCTAGGAAAAAGGTGTTAGAAAGAAAAGAAAAAGAAAAATACTCTTCACTGACTAGTCATCTTCCACATCATCCTCATCAAGAATTACCAAGCATTTATTTTGTGCTAAGTACTTTACATGGATAATTTTACTTAATTGGGAAAACCCTATGCGGAGGACAGTTCAGATTTGCCCAAGACATACAGAACTGTGGGAAATACGTTAGCATTGAGCTGAAGAAAAAAAAGCTGCTTCAGCAACTCGATCATCTTTATAAAGTCTATCAAACCATCAACCCATAGCAGCCTATAGGTGGCTAGTGGTTGCGGAACAACCCATATTTGCTAATTAAATGGCATACATGGAGATATTCATATGGAGCATGGGTGAGGAAGTCCAGAGCAGTTGAAGGTCACTCATCTTTCTGAGGCTGTTTTGAAGGCAGTGGCAGGGCATTGGAGGTAATTTACAATAGAGGAATCACACTCAATTCCTTCCTTCGTGAGCCACACAGCTATTCCTGTTCAACAATCAAGACAAAAGGCTGATGCTAGAGGACTGTGGTTTTTCGCCATGGTTTTAAAGGTCCAGCGTGGAGTGAGGGGATTAATCAGGGAAAGAAACTCTGGCCCAGGGAGGATTGTTTCTGGGATAACCATCTGATTCAAGTTTTTGAAATGCAGAACCCAACTTTTTTTTTTTTTTGAGAGGGCATCTCTCATATTTATTGATCAAATGGTTGTCAACAACAATAAAATTCTGTATAGGGGACTCAATGCTCAATGCACAATCATTAATCAACCCCAACCCTAGTTCTCAACAGTCTCCAGTCTTCTGAAGCATAAGGAACAAGTTCTTACATGGTGAACAAATTCTTACACAGTGAATAAGTTCTTACATGGTGAACAGTGCAAGGGCAGTCATCACAGAAACTTTCGAGAACCCAACTTTTATAGATGCATTGTTCTCTAGGAAGGAAATGAGGTTAAACATCAACAGACACAGTAGTCACTCAGACTTATAAGTTGTTAAAATCCTGACCCATTCACTCTTGGACCTCTGAGAGCTCAGGCCAAGTTCTTAGTAGGAGCATTACCATAGTAGACGAGGAGCAGCTAAACCCCAGAAAAGACAGGACTGCAATGCAAAAGCCTCAACATTCCAGATGGAGTCTGTCTCAAATACTCCTCAGGGCTCTACTGTTTGTCAGTGACAGTTCCCAAAGTTGCTTGTGTCTTTGACTTATATCCTTGACATGGCTTTTATTTTAATTGTCGCTCCTTTACATCAGTGCAGTGACTACCCTCAACAGCTTTTTGGCTGTTCTTGGTCCTGTGGTCATTCCTCAGGTGCTCATTCCTGCACTCCCACCACCTATAGATCCCTTAATATAGAAAATACGGAAAACTAGATTCCAAACTCTGTCATATTTAAAATTCATATAGCTGGACACAACAATCCTTCTCTCCACTTATTTTAAGGGTCTTTAGCTTATAAAGGACAACACAACAAACCATTTTACATATAAGAATATGCACACAAATATTGATACCACCTGAGTCCATGTCACAGTGATTAATCCTTAGTAACTTTAG